TAAAAAAACATTTTTAACATTTCCGACGGATTTCCGACGGAATTTATTTAAAAAAAAAAAATTAAATTCCGTCGGAAATCCGTCGGAAATTTTGAAAAATGTGTTTTTTATTTTTTTTTCCTTAACTTTAATTTAAAAAGAAATATAAAAACAAAACATTTTTAAATATTTCCGACGGAATTTTATTTTTTAAAAAAAAAAAAATTTCGTCGGAAATTGTTTTTAATTAACACTAATTAAATGATTTAAATAAATTAGACAAATTTTGCGACGGATTTCCGATGGATTTGTGACGGTTTAGAATAAGTAAAAAAATCCATCAGAAATCCGTCACAAATCCGTTGAAAACCCGTTTTAAATAATTTTAATTTTTTTCCCGAAAAATTCAGTGGGGGATTTGTGGGGGATCTGTGGCAGATATGGATAAAAGTTGAATTTTTTTGACTTTTTTGGTATCCGTCGGAAATCCGTCGGTAATCCGTCGGTAATATTTCCGACGGAATTTCCGCCAAAAAAATCCGTCGGTGATGCCCTTTTTTTTAGTAGTGTTAATTGTGGTTTTTGATTGGTTTTTGGTAGGTGTGAAAATGATGGATTAAAGTAGAAACAAAGTATATATTTCAAAAAAGTTACTAGGCTGGGCATATATTTATGAAGGAATATGAAGATTCATAATTCTTTATATAACCTTTAATCTTTATTTTCATTAAAAACAATATTTTTAGTTATTGAATAGAGTTCTAAAGTCAATTATGTCGGTGGTCTTTGTAGTTTGTTTAAATTTTGGATTTGATCTCTAAAATAAACTATCTACACTATTGATCCTTATCTTTTCAATTTCTTAATACTGTCAATTAGCAATAATTAGGAAGTATAATTAGTGTGTAGGGAACTACAAAGTATAATTCATTTTAAAATTAATTGTAATTCACATATTTCTTTTAAAAGAATTCCTTATATCAAAAATATTTTAAGGGGGTGTTTGGGTAAGCTTTTCAAACCGACTTATTAACTTATTTCAGTTGGGTACCGGAGATAAGTCATTTTGGAGTGTTTGGGTAAAAAAAAAAAAGTGCTTATACCGGTACCAAATCGGTAATAAGTCGTTTTTGATAAGTCAATCCCCCCTGACTTATCAAAATCAACTTATTAACAATTTACCATTTTAACCCTTACCTTCCTCAAGCGACCGACTGATGATTCGGGGGTGTTTTGTGAAATCGAACYAGAGAATCAAACCAGAGAAATCGAGGAAATCGGTGCCTGTGAAATCGAATCGAATGTCATCTTGGAGACGGATGTCGTCTTGGAGACGGAAATCGGTGCCAAGAAACTCGCCGATGCAGAGGTTCTCGGGGAGAAACCACTCACAGGAGATCGCGATGACAACCTCTTCCACGGTGGGTGCAAACTCGCCGATGCAGAGGTTCTCGAGAAAATAGGGTTGGAGTGATGAGGATGGAGATGAATCTCGAGAAAATAGGGTTGGAGTGATGAGGATGGAGAGGAATCTGATGGAGAGGAATCTGGAGAAAATAGGGTTTGGAGTGAGGATGGAGACGATGAACAGTGGAGGTTGATTGGAGGACCTTTTTGGTAATTTTACATCTATAAGCCAAATTTGCCAAACACTAAAAACCAACTTATCAACTTATTGCTTTTTGGTACCATTATAAGCTAATCCAAACACTTTTTACAAAACTCTAGTTTGATACCACATAAGTTAATAAGCACTTTTACAAAAAAGCATAAGTTGTTTTAAATAAGCAATCCCAAACACCCCCTAAGTATGGTTAACGAAAAAAATTAATAAATAATCAATTTTAATTGTTGTAGCTCATTCAGAACTATTTAATAACTCAACTTATTGATGTCTTATAATATTTTAACTTTTAAAACATAATTATTTTTTTACAACCCAAAGTTATTTATTTTAAAGGACAAATTTTAATATATATAACTATTTCAATTAAATAATTTTTAAAAAATATATATATGTGATAATATGAAGCACAATTAGTTTTAGAGTGAATTAAATTTTTGTTCCTTGTAATTTTTCTAAAGACTAATTTATCATTTTTAATGGTTGTCAACTGACGATGTTAAGTTTAAAGAGTTGAAATATTATGAAACTAACAGTTAGAAACCATCAATATAAATATTTTGTTTTAAAAACTAAATCCAAAATGTAAAGGAATATATATCAATGTAATTCAGTCAAAAAGCATGTGATTAATTAAGCATAAAATGGGGTGTTGAAGGAAATCTAATGAAAGACGCATACTTTTAATTTGTTGATTTGAGTTGATAATGAAGCGTTTGTTAATCAAGAGTGCGCCGCGCTTATAAACTGCTTTTTTATTATTTAATTAAACATTAATATATTTCTATTATTTAATTGAGAAAGTGTAGACAAGTCATGACGTCACCTAGTCAAGAGTATCTTTAATTAACGTTCCTATTGGACCGTCATATACATACATACATATATATATATCACTTTTTCATAATGCATACATTATCTTTTTCATATTTTTTATCTCTCTTTTTATAAATAGTAAGAATAAGAGGTTTTCTACATTATCTTTTTCAAAGTAATTCTATTAATATTCTAGAATACCGTATAAAACTGATAATTAATCGAAAACTCTCTTGTTATATCAAAACCACATAAAACTATAAAATACAATTCAAATGAACAAAAATTAAATTAAAAACAAAACATAAATTAGGATTAATTAAAAGTTCGAATTTTTAACATCAAGATTTAGTTTATCACGATACAAAAGTAATATATCTATGAGTAATGCTTACAGAATCTTTTTCTTTCTATGGGACACGTGAGGTCTCAACATCTACCCTTTTGAAAAAAAGCAAGTGAACATGTACATGAGCTACACACCTTAACAACTTCATACATGGATATTAGATATATATAGTTAAGTAACCTAACAAGTTTTATTGATAAAATTAGAAACCTAAAAACGATGTTCCAATGACATTTGATGTATAAAAAACCTATTAAAACAATTTACTTCTTCTATTATATCATATTGATGTTGATAGAAGTTGTTGTATTAGTTAAATTCAACACATAATTGTTAGTCTTAAGAACTTAAAAGTCTTGTTAAATAGTAGGAAAAAATCTAAAAAAACCCAATGGACTTTAGTGTTTGGAATGATTAAATCATTGAACAATTTTTTTGAACAAATAAGTTATTGGACATTCCCAAACCTGTTAGATAACTCCTTGGACTTTCTAAAACCTGTTAAGTACATTCTTATTACCTATAAAACTGGTTAATGTGGTAAAATAATGGAAAAAAAAAATCAATAGACTTTCATATTTTGAAGGATTAAGTTCTTAAACATTTTTTTAACCAAAAAAGTACTTACATCTATAAAATGAAACAAATATCCAAAAAAGTACTTTCATTTACTAAAAAAGTACTTACATTTAAAAAAGATTATTGATGAAATTTTGTTTTAATTAAAAATAAAAAATATTTTGTCAGTAATTTTCCAAATTAAAAATAAAATAAAATAGAATTTAAAATGAATTACTGATTAAATTTATTTTAATTAAGAATAAAATATATTTCGTATATGATTTCTTAAATTAAAAAAATAACAAAAGATTTAAAAAAGATTACTGATAAAATTTATTTTAATTAAAAAATATTTTGTTAATGATTTTCCAAATTAAAAATAAAATAAAATAGAATTTAAAATGAATTACTGATTAAATTTATTTTAATTAAGAATAAAATATATTTCGTATATGATTTCTTAAATTAAAAAAATAACAAAAGATTTAAAAAAGATTACTGATAAAATTTATTTTAATTAAAAATTAAATATATTTTGTTGGTGATTTTCCAAATTAAAAAAGTAAAAAATAATTTGATTAAATCACTAACAAATTAAGGATAAAATTTAACTAAATACATAATTAATAAAAATAAAAATTCATTGGTATTGTATGGATTACTTATATTTAATTAATGGTTAACTTGACCACTGTCAGACGCGTTAACACATTAACATGTTAATGAGTGTGAAAGATCGTATTCGAATATTATCGGTGATATCATTTTACCGATGGATTAACGACGAATTTTAATTAATTATGTATTTAGTTCAATTTTATCTTTAATCCACCAGAAATTTAATCAAATTATTTTTTATTTTTTTAATTTGAAAAATCACCAACGGAATATATTTTATTTTTAATTAAAATAAATTTCATCAGTAATTTTTTTAAATCTTTTTTATTTTTTTA